GGAAGATAATACAGATTACAATTTGAAAACTCCATATGATATAGAGCCCACTGCGGATGTGCCCTTAGTGACAGTCAAAATCGCGCCACTCGACATACACCCCTCTAGAGTAGTAGATGGAAGTTGACCTGGTGCAAATTCTCTCACCACTTATAAGCACTGCAGTAAGTCTTCAGTTGTTAAAAAACACCTCACAGGCTTCAGACGAGAAGTTTTTTTTATCAACCCTTATTTCCGTGCACATACAATGGATAGGTTTCATCGTTTGCTTATGCTGCAGAGTTTGCCGTTGCAAGTAATACCTTAGGAAAGCAAAGCTTGTGCGATGCAGTTCAGTTGTTGTGTTTTCAGAGGATCCGCGCGCATTGCATTTGCACAGGCGAACAACTAAATCTACTTGACTATACTTACGCGTGGCCTATGATAGAATCCGTGCCTCTCAATAAAAATTAGCCTATCTGATTCGGTCAATCCTTGTGATATATGGAGGTACCTTGACGACATATTCTCTCATACGGCTCGCGTAATACGCGCACGGATCCTCACACTATCATTTGCAAGCCTCGGCACGGATAACCGTTGACACCGCCAACAGTGACGGTATCATGGTGAGCCGCGTTAGTCGTACAGTACTTGAATGGACAAAATCGGCTATACCGACTCAACCGATGGTAAGAGGCAGTGTGCAATTATAATAGCATTCGATTGCCCATGTCGCAACACCGATATTAGTGCATGAGAATGATGTCGAAACTAGGGAACGACGATTGGGGACCGCCGCTAATGCTTACAGACTTCCCCTTGTGCGTATAGTACCATGCCGACATAGTAACCGGCTTAATTTTATTCCTAGAAAACCCTCTTTCTCCACCACATCCGACTTCCCTGGTTCCGCCGGTAATACCTCTTGGTTCGTTTTTGGAGAGATACCCTTCACAAACATGATGCGCATCATAATATGGACATTCATTCGATGGCAAATAACGAACAAATAACTACAACTGATAACTAGTTCGCGGGTCTTGTCGATGATACACACTCTGTTCATTAGCACCGTTTATCGACAATAACATATTGCGACCCGTATTATACTTAAATAGCCAAAGGGCCGCGAAGCAGCACTTTGTCTAGGAAGAGTGTGTGTAAGTTACGCCGCTTCGCGGGCGCTCAAGGCGCTCCACTACCTTCAATAGTTACAATT